CCCTACACGACGCTCTTCCGATCTCCCCAAAACCCCAAAACCCCATGAACAAGATTTAAAAAAACACTTGGCAGCTGATTCAATAAAAGTTAATATAATAACTGATTAAAATAAATTAAGTGAAATTAAAATGAACAGTACTGGGAATAGTTTCAGAGGAGTAGGCTAGTCAATCTTAAATGGATCATAATTCGGTTAGACCTAGCCAGTGAAACTGCAGAATATGAGGATGTCTATGGGTGAAGATAACTCAAATGGCAACTAATTCAAATAAGCAACTCACGCCTTCATGCTAAATAAAAGATAATCGCAAGAAAGATTGCCCACAAAGCAAGGGAGAATGTTTCATATTGAACTCGGATAAAATGTAAATTAATTAATATCAACTTACAACCATTAATAGGATGGACCATTTAAGAGATAAGAGATTATTGGACATCCACATATTGATAAATTTGGCACCAATCAGTCAATAACCTCAACTATGGGTGGGCCTCATAGTCATGGTCCCTAGAACTAAATATCACCTAGAATCGGCATCTTGGGGCATCATACCTATAAATAAGAAGATCGAGCTTAGATGATTCAAGCAGATGAGGCTACAAACTCAGTTACCCATTAAATTAAAAGAATTGAGGTATGACATTAAATATCATTCTTCAATATTTTATAGGACTAGCTTGTGCTTGGCTATGAACTTTTGAATACATATAAAGATGAATCAGGAAATTTAAGATCACAAATAGACTCTCTGATGAATAATCTGATTGAGAAAAATGAAGGAGTCTTGTAAGAGATACACCCTGATTTGATTGATGATTACAAGACACTTAAGGATACGATCAAGGAATAAAAAGACGAAAATGAGCAGCTTTATAAGTTGTTACTTAATCTAAAGAAGGAAACTGCTAGTTCTAATCAAAAGATTTAACTTTGCCAAAATAGAATTGCAAGGCTTGAAAATAATCTAGGAGTAAATGGAAATGCCAATCATAATAATAACAGTAATGACATAATGAATGATAGTTATAGTGGAGCTGAATACGAATGATGGATATTAATTGAACTCAGACTATTTACTCAATCATTATCATTTTATAATGCATTTTCATTTTGTCTTAATTACAATTCAAATTTTCAATAAAAAGCATGAAGGGGTTTTGGGGTTTTGGGGTTTGGGGTTTTGGGG